TGGGCAATGTATATATTTGTTTGATCTGGATTTATTATTGAAAACCAACACAGCTACGTAAAACGCCCACACCATAGAAATCACATGCACGAACTGGGAGCAACAGTCGAGACCTACCTACATATGCATATCCTAGACAATGTTACATTATACATGTGGTCAGTTTTATTGTTTTTTTAACTAAACATGAAAATATACATATTTTCTCGTGTGTAATCCAGAATTTGTAATGTAGACCTGAACTTAAAAGAATAAAAACTTCCTATCTTATAGGAAACATATTGTGACTGAGCAGTATCCTGAAAAATGTACTGCTGAACTTCTAAAATGTAATGATTCATAGCTCTCTATATATGCACGGAGTGTAAGATTTTTTTAAGAGATTTGGAGTGTGATCTGCCATTGTCACTACTGTGCTTCTCACTGTTCTCCTTGCTGTAGAGGAAGCTCTACCTAAGGAACTACAGTACACAAATCTACTTGCTCCTACTTCCTCCAATTTGTGGATCTGTGTTTCCTCCACCTTTCCTGCCTTTTCTTGATCACTGCCCCACCACTCATAGGATCACCTATTATCAGAGGGGGGACAAAGTCCTGCCTCTACCAAGATGGCAGCCTCCATACAGGGCAGAACAAGTCACGGTAAGTCAGTAATGGGGAAAAGATCAGCTGCAGGAAGCCCACAAACAATCCTGGTAAGTAGTCCTTTGCCCTCTGCTTGCCTTTTTTGAGCATAACTTCCACAGTACAGGGCCCTCTTTAGGCTCAGTACACTATTAAGGATTCGTACAAAAGACAACTAGAGATGACTTCAGGAGATTGGAGGATCCTGCAGGCAGGAATTTTTGTGGCAATTTTCTTGTCTTTAATTCTGATAGCGTACACTAAACACCTCAACAGTATATTCTGCCCGACAGTATATATACAGTCACATAAAAATAATCTCTCTCAAGAGTGTGATCAAATAGGAATGAAATTCTTGTACATGACCAGCTTTACATTGCACTTTTATTCCCCTTAAAGACTGTTAGGAGGGGGGAAAAAAACAAACAAACAACATGTTGTACATTTCTGCAATGCATGCACATTTTCCCTTTCTGCAAGTGCAGAAAAATAACTGGCGATGTGCCAGAAATGCGGCATGACAACAAAGTGCATTTTCAAAGCATGTGGTGTCAGCCCTGCCTATTTCATTTATCGTGTATTACAAAGAACACAGATCTCTCCTCATGTCCGTAAGCCCTCCATGTGCACAGGCTGAGAGCACAGGAAGCTATTAGGTCACAAAAAGTCTGGCAAAATCAACAGATAATTTATCGCACATATAAAAAAAAAACATAAAAAACAGTTTAAACAGCATATTTAGCAGACAAAAGGGGAGCAAATAAGAGAAATTAATTGTTAGGGTTTACTTACACTCAGTTCAAGAACTGAACAATTGGAAGTTTTTTTTGTTTGAAATACATATTAAAAGGTGATATTTTTCCTGACTCTTAGGGGGTGATTTACTAACCTAAACACACGCACGCACTAGGTGCGTGTGATTTTTACACAGCAAAACATATTTATCAACCAAAAAGTCTCTAAAAGCATATTTCCACTAATGCCATATATGGAAAAATCATGCACATGATGCATATATAATGCTGCTTCACAGTTTAGACAAAAATGGTTAGCTCATGCATTTACATTCCTGCATTCATCAACGCAAGCAACACAACATAGAGCTAATTTACACAACATCACCTTGCAAATTCATGCAGGGCTTTGCACAACACACCTGCTGGGTGTGTACACACTACAAAGGTGTTTAGATTCCACCCATAGATCATGCTGGGAGGGAACACACTACAGAGGTGTATACATGTTCATGGTGTGTTTATAAGGTTAGTAAATCAACCCCTTAATGTCATTATTTTCAATTCAGTACTACAAAGACTGCCTACTGGTATGCAAACGTTACTTTATAGGCAAAACACATTACTTGGCCGATAAAAATGTCCTGAACAGCATTTTGAGCTGGTTAATTCAGATGGATGTAGGTTATGTGCATGAATCTAAGGAATTTGCATATCCGCAATAATGCTTTGTCCTGCACAGAGGATTGGTACATACTACTGACATGTACCGATCCTCTGCCGCTCGGCCACGCACAAATGGGTTCAGCTTCTCCTCTGCATCCCCCCCTGCTCTCCCGGGAAAGAGGCAGCGGGGGATCCGACGAGAAGTGAAAGAGCACTTCAGCCGTGCGGGGGGGGGGTTGTCGGAGCCGCTGTGACAGAACGGACAAGCAGTGAGGGGAGAGAGAGGCGCCGGCTGTCAGATCCTGGCTGAGCGTCTCTCTCTCTCTCCTCACCGCTCTGCATTAGTTCTGTGACAGCGGCTCCGTCCCCCGCCCTCCCGGGCGGGAGGAGAGGACATGGCGATCTACCACTGGTAGATTGCGATCGACCTTGTGGGCACCCCTGCTGTAGAGGAACTGGAACCTAATACACACCCTCACATCACTGTTAAATTACGCAAGTGAAATGCTTTGTAATGTGACTTTTTTAATCTAAAAGATTTAATACCTTTAACTATTTTACTCCCTTCTTGTGTCTATACACTTTCCAGATACCGTTTCTCAAAATAGTTCCATAAACATCCCATGACACTTCGCTTAAAACAGGGGTCAGCAACGTTTCCACATTTGGTGCTATTTTTACAAGCATCAGACAACCAGCATGCCAGTAAACGAAAGTGTGCCAGAGTCATATGGTTTGTTTTTACATTTTAGCACTCCTAGTGCTGTTAATGGTAAGCTAAACTATTCTAGTAACATTTGCCACACAAAACGTTTATATTTAAACCTCAGATCAGCCTCAAATTATGCTCTTTCAGACCCCAGATCAGCCCAAATGCAATAAAGCCCAACTTCAACAAAATCAAAACATTTCCCCTTGCAGTGGGGATACCCCCCTACTGCAAGGATTAAATGCTTGTTTATGCCTAATGCCTGGTTCACATTCAGCGTTTTGCAGCGCTTTTTCTGCCCTAAAAAAACTATCAAAAATGACGCCCCCAATCCCATTTTTTTCTATGGCCACATCCAAGCGTTTTGTTGCAATAAGCACAACGCCTGTTGATGGAAAAAGTAGACAAGCTTTTTTTTGGCATATTACTAGCGATGCACCGATACTAGTATCCGTGCCAATACCAAGTATTTGGGTGAGTACTCTTACCCGCCCAAATGCTCCAATGCCTAGCCCAATACCCGAGCTTCCGGTATCAGGAAGCCGGGCAGCGAGTCATTACAAGCTGCCCGGCTTCCCGATTGGCCAGGGAGCATGGAGATGGCGTCCCTGCTAATTGGGAAGCCAGGTGGCGAGTCTTTACACTCCGCCTGGCTTCCCGGGTAATCAGGAAGCTAGGTGGCGATTCATTACACGCCACATGGCTTCCCTAATGGGACTTCTGGTATCGGCGAGTACCTGAAAATAAAATATTGCACTCGATACCAAATAAAATGTGTCAGCGCATCCCTACATATTACAGCTCGTCTTGGCCACATAGACTCAATAGGAAACGCTTGAAAAAGCACGTTTGCTGTGTTTTTGCACGTTTTTACAAGCTTTTTATGCACGTTTGCTCATTAACATCAATGAGCTAAAATCTGCTAGAGGAAACGTGCGATTTGATTTATGCACACAAAAATGTGCGTCCAAAACACGTATAAAAATGCTGTCGTCTAAGTGTGAACCCAGCCTAAGGGACAGGAAAAGGCGGTTTTACCTAACCAGTCTTAGCTCGCCCGGAAGTGCTCTCTTCTTCTCCCCTTACACTCCCCTGTGGACTGCCTCTCTGAGTCCTCATGAATAATACAGAGCCTGCATTCTACTTGATGACATCAGCGGCCCTTACACCACCAAAGCAGAGGGGAATAGTGGCAGCGAGGTCCGGTCTAGCATGCGGAAGGTAACCATCAGGAGAGCTGGGATCGGGTATGTAAAACAGCTTTTTCCTGTCCCCTAGGAATGCGAGGGAAAACTTTTAATCTCCCTGGAGTTGGCCTTTAACCTCATATCAGCCCTAATGCATGACTTACAGGCCTCAGATCGGCCTCAGTGCATGCACCTTCAAAACTTAAGATAAGAATAATATCCTGTATTATGTAGCATTTTTTCAGCTTGTTTTTCACCAATAAAATACTGGGAGAACTTTATGTTCCACAATTTATAGGTTATATATTTGCTGCAAGCATAAAATTAGGAGTGTATTTTATCTCATTAAAAAATAAGATCAACTATGATGCTTGTAACATTAAAGAACAACATCAGGCAGATTTGGATGATGCAAATTAACGCAGCTCACTAATTGCGCTGTCATTAATATGTCATTAACTACATCAATGCTCGCTCATCGATACATCATTAAAAGCAAGCATTGTAAGAATTTGATCTGGTATCAGTCTCCTGCAAACCACTGTGAATCAGGGCTGAAGTGTGAGAAGGAGGAGCAGTAGAAGGAGCCAATCAGTTAAGGTGCTGACAAGCAGCATGCTGATAGGAAGGAAGAGCAGTGTCCAGTAACAAACTAGGGGGGATTCAGGATGACCTGGGATCAGAGGACTGGTATTAAATGATGCTGGTCATTAGATTGAGGACTTCTAGTGACAGAAACAAACAACTGCAGGAGAAATCTTGGGGTGGAGGCTGAATATTACAGCAAAAGCAGGTTTGCAATTTTATATCTTTCTATTTATTTTTATCTTAGTATTTTTTTTGAAGTTCTGCTTCACCTCTGCACAGCAACAGAAATTAAAACAGCTATCGATGTCCTTGGAATGCACATAACATTTGTTGTCAAGTTTTAAAATAAAACCCTCATCCACTTAGTATTCCTGGCAGTGAAGCAAGCGAACATTAACTACTCATGGCCTATGAGCAGTTTCACTACATATTCTAGAGTCATAGAAGGTGAAGATAATGCTCTTTGCAGAAACTACCAATGCGTGCATTTACCTCTTCCATAGTAATCCAGCACTTGCAGAAACTGCAGTCACCCCCACAAAAGCTGCCATCATAAGCTTCCGCCTGTGGCGAACAGGATTAGCCACTCCATGATACCTGCGGGTTACAGTTGCCAATCCTGCCACTGCTGGCAAGAAGCGAAGTCGGAACATTCTGGAAAGAAAAAAAAAATATTATAAAAAAAATCTGCATAATACAGGCATGACTCTAGAGAAACTTTCTGCACACATGCACAATGAAGTAGATTATTTATTGGCATTACAATGACAGTTTTCATATCTACAGTTAAAAATCCTGGGGAAATGTCAAGTGTTCCTCCTACACTTGGAGTGTTACCATTACCCCCAGCAACAGGTAATAAAACAATGTGTGAAAAGTGTTGTACTATGGATCATTTAAAGTCACCTGTCCCTTTAAGAAAAAGTATCGGTAATTGGTATCGGCAAGTACATGAGGGGATGTACTTGTACTTGGGCCTGAAAAAGTGGCATCGGGACATCCCTAGTGAAAAGACATAGGAACTAACGTAATAAATATCTTACACCACTAGAGTCTCAGGCACAGTAAAATAAATTGTTGAGCTGGCTAACTCTCCGTCAGTTTCGGGTAAACACACTTTTTAACATTTATATAAAAATTTAAAATATGTTTCTCAAAGAAACGCCCTTTTATAGCTGGATAACAAATTTAGGAGTTAGCTATGCCAATCAAAACTAAGCAGGTAATTTTAATAAACCAGGAATACAAAGACTTCAAAGCTAGGCCCCAGCTGTGATTTATTTCTTGAATATGTCAATGTTTGGTATTTGTCCAGGCCAGAATAAAGAGAGGAACCCCAATGCAAGGCAAGTTACCAAAACACTTTTAACAAAGTGTGAGAGTTTATCAAAACTGGAGCAGACAAAATATGAAGCAGCTGTGCATGGCAACCAATCAGCTTCTCTCATCAGTTCAGTTAAGATTTGAAAATGAGACAGAGAAGCTGATTGGTTGCCATGCACAGCTGCTCCAGATTTTGACTGCTATAGTTTTGATAAATTCCCTTCAATATGTGTGTTTTTTTTTTTAAAGAATCTATTTTCGTTTAATTTACAAAAACAGTTTGCACATTTAACACATGATATAAAACATCTTCAGAAATGAATCATTTTTGGGTCACAACTTAATGACCAAGGAAAAATGTGGGTCCCGAGGTTACACAGGTTGAGAACCACTGATCTAAATCCAACAGCAAGATCTTATATAGATTATTTATACGTAACTTTGTTCCATTAGCCCTTCTCTTCAAAATTTTTAAAAAGAAAGATGGGGAAATAAATTAGAACTATATAATCCTCATAGATATTCTTGAATCTCTGCTGAGCCTAGGAAGGCCATCCAAGGTTTCCATTTTTCCACAAACATTAGATATCTACTGTATCTTGTAAACAGGCAGTCAGTGCTTCAATACGCATTGTATGATTCAATTCCACTACCCATTCCCAGATCTGGGGGATATTGGATGATCTCCAGTATCTTGGAATTATCACCCTTGCTGCTGCCAATATGGGGCATGCCAATCCATCCTTAATTCTTTTTACAGATCCCGGCCCTTCAATATGTTTAACGTAACATTAGCCCTTAACCACTTGTCTACCAGGACCATTTATAAACAGTGGCTGGTAGCAAGGGCTTTTAAAACACACTCTTGGCTGCTATAGCAGCTGGAAATGCGTATACATTTTACAAGCCGACTAATGGCTATTAGAAGGAAGGAAGGATCAGCATCAGTGGGGTCCATAGGTGACATTAAGGGGTCTAATAGACCCCTGATCATTCCTTAAAGAGGACCTGTCATTTCAACTATGGTATCACATAGGGGACTATCAACCCCTATATAACAGCAATAAAGTTAATTGGGGGAAAAAAAAGTTTTTTTTAAAAAAAGACAAGCCAACACAAAATAAAAAATAAAAACGAAACCTTTTTTTTTTCAAAGCACCCCCTACATATGTAATGGTACGCCTATGTACGAAAACAGCCACATGTTAGGTATCGCCACGCATGCCAGAGTAAAAGCAATTATTCTAGGGTTATTATTCATAGTAAACTCCAAACTGATGGCATGTAAAGCCTTTTAAAGTGTCACCTATAATAAACAAAGTGCATACCAAAGTTAGTTGTCATTTAATGGATGTACGCAATTTTAAGGCTAGACATGTTGGTATCCATTTATCGGCCTAGCCTCATGTTTTCTATTTTACAAAAAAAAATTTACTGAAAATTTGGATGTGATAAACAGTTACACTAATATCGCGAGACATAAAAAGCTGCAACCACCAACAGTTTATTCTCCATGGTCTCTGATTTCAGAAAATATATATATATAGATAATATATCTAGGCGGTTTTAACTAATCTTCTGGACCTAAAACGCGTATTTTAACACGTGTGCAAAAAATGAAACATGGCTCTGGTAGTGAAGTGGTTAAAACGCAGTAGCATTATCTTTCAAAATGTGTTTTAATAAAGAACTATAAAAGGGACAGCGCACGTATTGAAAATAGTTTTTAAGATGTTGAAATTTACATGTCAACCAGCAAAGTTGTTAAAGGAGAACTATGAGGTGAGTGCTTTTCACTCACCTCATAGTTCTAGCCGACCTGCGACAATTAAACTGTCACAGGTTGGCTCAGTAGATCGGGAGGTGAGCGAACACTTACCGGCGTTCGCTCACTTCTCGATCCTGTCACGGCTCTCTGCCGTGACAGGGGAGGGGCTGGATTCCCCCCTCCAATCCTCCAGCGCTGACTGGCGGAACGGACGGGGGAGGGGGCAGGTACAGCTGGCTCTGCCTCTAGATAGGCAGAGCCAGCTGTCACTCACGCAGCTGGGCGGATCCAGACATAATTGTCAAGATCCGCTGCGGCGTTTCAGTAAACCGCGAGCTGTAGCTCACGGTATACTGCGGCGTCTCAGTATACCACGAGCTGTTGCTCGCGGTATACTGAGCTTAGGGTGACGGGAGGACGCTAGTTTGTGTCCTCCTGTTACCCTAAGGAGAACTATGGGGAAAAGCCCTAACCCCATAGTTCTCCTTTAAGAGCCTTCTATCCTATACATGCCAATCGATTTATGAACTAGGTGAGCTGTACACTTGGCAAATAATTCTCATTGCTTGGTTTCCTGAACTGAATTATTCTTTTCAGACTGGCCAAATCTGTATTTACAAATTCCAGGGAATTGAATGTTTATGTTTTGCCAAAAAAGATCACTCAATTTGCCAAAGTCAATCATCAATTTGCTTATCTCTACTGGAAACCCTATACTATTTGCTAGACTGCATGACAGGTCATGTGTATTTCTGGCTGTAGATAAGTCTGCACAAACAGAAAAACCTTATGATTTATCATGTCCTGACTCACTCATTCCTTTACGTTTAATTTTTAGTAGGGCTACCAGACTTCTCTCTTTACCTGCCAGTGTCATTCGTGTCCTCCTGGAATCTCCTCTTTAGTCTCATCCAGTAATTTAATATGTTGGCAGATTTATTTGCTGGCAGCTGCTAGATGGTAGCAATTTCTGCAATGCAGTAAACTACAGCTAAGCTTAACAGGGAGAAGCTCTACAGCACTAATGTGAGTATTACACGGGAATGCTTTTATCTTTAAATATAACTATCTGATTTCTCATCAATATATGCTGAAGGCACAGAGTGCTAAGAAATTACACCCATGTCACCCGTCAACACTGTCACTTAACTACTGTCAAGGATAAAAGATATTTAAGAGCACCTGTCACACTAATATTCCCCACAACATGAAAAAGTGTTGGTTTTGGTTGTTGTATGCAACAAGCATCATTGACAATCGACAAATATCACCAATAAAGAAATCACTTGTAACCGAACATGTTCTGCCCTACTAAGCAAAGAACAGAGAAGCATATTGCAATATGTTTTTTTTCTTATCAAGACCTGCAACTTGCAAACTTCACGCTTAACCAATATTCTCAACCTTGCACGGAGATACGATGACCAAAAAAAATGAAATTACCTACAGTGAAAAATGATCAGCACCTGCAGAGATATTGCATTGGAAGTTATAAGCAAATTCCCTACTTTTCTAATATGTCAAGTGTGGCACAACCCTCACAAGCCACCCTATTAGTCTTTCATGTAATAGGCAGCATCCCTAGGACAAGCCGATAGTTTTCAATTACTGAAGTTGGTGAACTGGCCAAATTACTGAAGTTGGTGAACCAGCCAAAATTCGCTCAATAGGTGACCATGTCTGCCTTCTCCAAACAAACATCTTCCAACTGAAAAATTAAAGCAGCCAGGAAAATTACGCCTACTCACAATCAGATGAAGGTATTGTTCAAGTATTTTGACAGCCAGCAGGGATGACTGTTGAATTGCAATAGCTGCAGCGAGAGATTCCTCCATCCACACTGTTTAGCGTTGATGAGGGATATATGAAAAAAAATCCAGAAAGCTGGATGAAAACAAACCATGATGGCCAAAAATTCACTGTATCCCTAGCTTCTTTTCTCCCCGCTGGGTGCTGGTCTGTATGCCTCCTGATGCTGCTGCCCATGCCCAGCAGAGAGGAGGGAAGCTCTCAGGAGGCCGAGCGGTGGTGGCAGCAGTCAGGATGCCGAGCGTTGCGGGTGGTGACAGCTGTCATCTTACAGGAGGCAGCGCTCTCCTCCCAGCTCCGCCTCCTGTCACAGGATGGAGAGTGGTGCCCGGCAGTGACAGCTGTTATCTTACAGGACGCTGTGTCCTCCTCCCAGCTCCATCTCCTGTGTCAGAATGGAGAATGGAGGAGAGCGCTGTGATTGACACCGGAGAGGGAGCTCTCCTCCCCCACCGCCCGCCCCGCCTCCTGACAGCCCATTCAGGATGGAAAGCGGTGTGCAAACACTCACAGATCAGCTGATTGGTGAGTGTTTTTTTAAATATTTAGGCCATAGTGTGCTCACTATGTCCCAGATATGAATGGGAAGTGATCTACACCACTCCCTGTTCATTCATGATTGTGGACAAAGTAACTTACACTATATCCACAATGTATGAATGTACAGGAACACTCAGTATAGAAACTTCCTGCTCACCCATAAAAGGGGCTGTTATGGAACAAGGAGACCAAGAAGAGTGAACAGTAAATTGGT